GGAGAATGCCCCTTTCTTTGGTCCCCTATTCCCCTCTGCCTGTCCGGGGTCAGTGGTCCCGAGCTGGGCTGCTAACTTCAGGGAGAGCAGTTCAAGACCATCAGCCAGCCCTCAAGAGAAAGATGTGCTGGCTTTCTACTCCCGCACAGGTATGGTCTCAGACACCCACGGGGCAGTTCTCCTCTGTCCCACAAGGTCCGGCTGCTCGATGGCGGGGAGTTTGGTTTGGATCCACGCCTTCCCCAGGTTTCTCGGCAGGGCGCAGGACTTCCCAGCCCGGAGCCCCTCTGGCGGTACTCACGGCATGAGGCTGAGCTTGGTGCCGACCTTCACGCCCTCCCGTTTCTGGACATAGTTGGCTGGGATGATGCCCTCACGGCCCACCTTGTTCTTGGCTTTGTACCAGTTGGGGTCCTGGAAGGAGGGGTGGGGCAAGCCCAAACATAGCCTTAGCCTCTCCTCTCCCCTGGTGAGAATCCAAGTCCCAGAGGTGGGAGGGCATCTCTGGTTACCTTGGTGACGGCCACAATGGTGAGCACATCGCCTTTGCAGAAGGGAAGGTCTTGCTCGGCAGTGCCGTGGAAGTTGTACTTGGCAATACATTCTGTACCGGATGGCCAGGCGGCCTGCAGGGCAGGTGGCAGGTGGGTGGACACATCCAGGGACCCCTTTTTACCCATCTGTTCACCACCTCGTCACAGATCCTCCAGCTTTTGGGGTCCCCCCAGCTGAGAGAGCCCCTGTCCTATGGCCACCTCTGAGAGTGTGCCCAGGATTCTGTTCTGGGCGGGGACAGAGGGTTGGGCAGAGGGGTGTGGGCGGATGGAAACTCCCATTTCACTCCCCAGCTCGGGCCGCCCAGCCCTCCAGCGCAAGGTACCTGTATTGCTGACATCTTCTCAGGAGCTCTGGGTCCCCGTGTCTCAGGAAGGCTGGCCTGTCACTTTGGTACCATTAGAGCTGTCGGAGAGACCAGGGAGGTGTGTGAGGACACAGCCCCCACCGGCTGCTAGATCTGAAGAGGTGTCTTTGCCACGGCTTCCTCCTTGGGGCTGGGACCTGGGGCAGGGCAGCCCTCTCCAGGCTGGGCTCCGGCTCTCGGCAAAGCACTGGATAGGGCAGAGGCAGGGGCAGACGAGGCCACCAGCCCACGTTCATCGGGGACCTCACAGACCTGCGAGAACGGCCAACAGGGGCGAAGGAGGCTGAGAGGGGCTAGCAGCCCCTGTCCCATCAGCCCTCCAGTCCCATCCCAGGTTTGCAGGGAAGGGCGTCCAGGGCCGCTCTACTGTGGGACCTGGGAAAGCCACTGAGCCTCTCTGCGCCTTCCCTGCCCCTCTGAAACCCCTCCCGGCAGAATCCTGAAAGCTCCCTGTCCGTTGCAAGTCCACACCTCAGAGAAAGCGAGTCTGCCAAGAATGTCCCGTCCCCAGTCTGGAAATTACCCGGATGCCCCAGGAGGCCAGCGGCCCGCTTGTGGGCTAGTCACGAAGCAGAACTGTACACAGGACTAGCATTCTGCCCCAGCCCCAGGGACGTTCCAAACTGGCCGGCGAGGACACTGGTGGCGCAGTCAGGTGACGGTGCCAGCCCGCTCCCCAGTGGGGCCCTCGCCGTCGTCAGTGATGTGAAAGACGGGCGCTGTGAACCCACGAAGGACCACCAAGGAGGAAAGGCTCGGGCAGGTGTTCACCGTCACCTGGGGCACACGCCGACAATGTTTTCCGTTGGGAAGACTTCCTTCTGCAGCCAGTGGATGGAGACGGGGAGCGGCGAGAAGGGCACACA